GATACGTTAACTGACTGAACTCCCTAGCAATGTGAAGAAAGTGTTACACCTACCTGTACTAGAAAGGGGGAGAAATAAGAGAGGTCTGATGGAAAGAAAACAACTCGTGCGATCAAGGGAAAGGCAGGGAAGGGAGAATGGAGCAGCAACTATCATGTACCAAACCGTGCCAGGAGCTTTACCCACATTGTGCCGCACCCCACAACAGCCCTGTGAGGAAAGCACTATTACAACCTTCATTTTACTAACTGGGACACCCAAGACTCTGCGAGCTGAAATAACTTGTTACAAGGCCTTTCCACTACTCAATGGAAGGCTGGGGATCACACAGGGTTGCAAAGCCATAGTTTCTGTACTGCTGCACTGACAAATCTGCTGAAGCGACCATGAAGTGCCACTTTTAGTTTCAGCACACAAACACAAATAATGGAAAATATTTGCTTTTGTTACACAGATACCATAGCAAACTGCCAGCTTCCATAAAATATAATCGTGGCCACGTGTGGTAGCTTATGCCTGTGATCTGAGAACTTTGGGACGCTGAGGCAGGAGGATGACTTGAGCTCAGGAATTCAACATCTACCTGGGCAACATAGTAAGAACCCATCTCTACAAAAATAAATTTTAATTAGCCAGGCGTGGGGGCTCATGCCTGTAGTCCGAGCTACTTTGAAGGATGAGCTGGGAGGATCACTTGAGCCTGGGAGGTCCCAGCTGCAGTGAGCCATGATCACGCCACTACTCCAGCCTGGGTAAGAGTGAGACGCTCTCTCAGAAACACTCAGGTATGAGAACCAGAACTTTCAAATATGGCGAGGCCAAGTTTCTCCCAGACCTATTTGGAAGCGATTCATCATGATGCTCTACCATAAGAGCAGCTACGGCAGGAAGCAGCAGCTGTGGGACCAGGTGAGGTGGGTGGGAGGCTTGGAGAAATTGGAAAAGTCCATTTCTAGACCCCAGGACAAAGAGCATAAGGCCAGAGGGTCTTCAATTCATCACTTGCCAGGTCCCATCCTGTGTGGTCACATTCTAAACTCCATCCCACCCTTGGTGATTTGTGGCAGGACAGGCAACTGCAGAGTACTAGTGGCCAGGAGACCTCTGCTCTCCCCTTTCTTGCTCCTTAGCAAGCTGTGTACCCTCATCAAGGACTTAACCTCTCTGGTCCCAAACCTCTCTTTCCCCCACCTCACAGAATAGGCTCATCGAAAGGCCCAGGACTAGCAGTCTGAAGAAATGATATCAACAAGGGCAGGGACACAGTCAATCTGGTACGCAGCGTCACGCTGTACTTGCTGAATAAGACTAAATTAGCTTCAGTACACTTATTTATAAAAAGTGGAAATGGTAACTACCTGCCAACCCCAACTGGTTCCTCTGTCAATCAAATGTAATGGGTGGGACAAGCTATACCAATGGATGACATCACTATCTCATAATGTAACAAAAATATCAGTGCCAGAGGGAGTATTATAAGGAAACTGACACTCAGCAACATTTAATGAGTAACCTAGATTAGCAACTTCACATTCACTGAGTGATTTCACATCCAGTGTGGCATCTAGTCCACATTTTCAGTGTAAATCCCACTATGAACGACTTAAAGCAAATCATTTCATCATTTGTTCTGAACCTCTGTTTCTTCATCTGTAAAAAGAGAATGTGGGCCGGGCGTAGTGACTCAGGCCTGTAACCCCAGCACTATGGGAGGCCAAGGTGCGTGGATCCCCTGAGGTCAGGAATTCAAGAGAAGCCTGGCCAACATGGTGAAACCCCATCTCTACTAAAAATACAGAAATTAGCCGGGCGCAATGGGGCATGCCTGGATCCCAGCTACTGGGAAGGCTGAGGCAGGAGAATCGCTTCAACCAGGGAGGCAGAGTTTGCAGTGAGACGAGAAGGTGCCACTGCACTCCAGCCTGGGTGACGGGGCGAGACTCTTGTCTCAAAAAAAAAAAAAAAAAGAGAATGTGCTCCATCTCTTCTGTTTGCCCCCTCCAAACACACCCTACCCTACCCTCTCCTCCCTGCCCTGTGTCCCCGAGTATAGACCCCATATACAGGTTTTCTGGCTCTTCAGCTTCCAGATGGGTCTGCCCAGCAGAAGGCACCAGCAGAAGAAGTTTGGTGGAAGGAAGAAAGGGAGGTCAAGGTGTTTCTTCCCCCACCCCAATCCTTGACAGGAAACTGGGGCTGCATCCCTTGAACAAAGTTATCAGCAGGTCTCAGGTGCCCTCTCCACACAACTCATATCATTCCCTTCACCCCTTCAGGCCCAAGATGGACACCAGGTTCTGGAGTTACTAGCCATGGGATACTAAACCTTCACTCCTGATTTCCCTACCCACACCTTTACTTTCTCTCAGATCATCCTAATCTAAATGTGCCACCTATTTCCTGCTGAGATCCTGGATTATACAGTAGATATAACCACCTCGTAAGGTTACAAACGAGAGACCATGTTATGACTAGATGCTAGGCACTGGGCTATAGTTACTGTTACAACAATTATATTATGCAGACATTGTTGCTCCCAATCTGCAGATGAGGAAGCCGAGAGGATCAGAGAAATTAAGAAATTCTCACAAGGACATACAAGGGTGGAAGAGCTAGAACTGAGGCCTTAACCTCCAGAACCAGCAAACCTTTCCATTTCTATTATCACCATCGCGGTCAATATTTTTCCTACCACAAGTTTCATCACCGCCGTCATTCCTATACAACAAAGTAACAGTCTCTTGGGAATGAGTGTATTTCTACTGTTGGACGTGTGGCTACGAGGGGGAGTTCTGGAATGGGATCAAAGTACGAGGCCTGACTTGCAGGAAGTATTATCTTGAGCAAGAGACTTTCCTCCACGAACCTCAGTTTCCTCCAGTAAAATGGGGGTAGATAACAGGGCTTCCTTCACAGGGTGGTGAGGAGGATTCAATGGGATAACATTTGCAAAGCACCGGGCACGCAATAAGCACTCAAATGACAGGAGCTACGGTCATGAAAAAGGGGTTTGCAGCCTTGGCGGCTTTATGGCCGCCGAGGACTAGGGAGGCGGGCCAGGACACGGGGACCTGAGGACCTGAAAGACTGGAAGGTGCCCGCTGCCCACCCCCGGGCCCACCTGCTCCTCCAGTCTCTCAATCTCCAGCTGGTTCTTCTCCTCCTCTTCGTCATATTCCCACTCGTACTCCCCGGGGGAGCTCTCCGCGGAGGAAGCCATGGCGTACTCATCCCCATCGCTCTCGCTCACGCCTTCCTCCTGCTGATCCCACCCTGGCCCCACGGTCTTGTATGTCGCAGCGGCCACAGCCCGCGATAACACCTTCCTTCTTGTTCTGGCCGCCTTAACCTCATCCTCCTCTCCGTCAGCCTTGGGCCCAGCCTTGGACTCAGCCTCGGGTTCTGAAGCCGAGGTTGCGGCCGCAGTCGCCATCTTGCGCTTCTAATGACTCTCGGGTCTTCCCGCGGCCGCCGAAGACCCGCTGAGGCAGAAGCTGCCCGCGGCGCGCGCCTTATCAAAAGCCCGTTTTCTTGACACTGAAAGGGAAACTGGGAACCTTAGATAACGAGAAAATCTCCAAATACACTAAATTCATTTTATTTTATACCCCTGTAAAAACTCCCACCAGAGAAAAAACTCATTATCATGGCATACGTTCCGTCACAACTTCGGACAGAAGTTGGGTCTTTGGGCAGGAAGTGGAGGCCATAGAGGAAGTCATGGAGCGAGCGTGGTGTCTGTAGTAAAGAATTTGGCGCCATCTTGAGAAGGTCAAAGTGATTCTTAGAAAAAATACCTTACTTATCGCCTAGCGTGACCTGGCGCTTGGGTTTAGTCTCCCCAGCAACTGCACCTCAAACGCAAAGAAAACTGCAGGTCCTCGGGGAAGGATCGATTTCACCATTCAAGAGAAAAATCCATTTCCCAAAGAAATTCTTCCCCTTTATGTAAACGTCTGGTACCTAGGAGGCGTTAAATACACTTGAGTTTTCCGGTTTTATAAGCTCACATACTGCAAACCAACAGTAAATACGCATTTCTTTAGAAATTCTTAATTGCTAGGCACCGACATTCAAATTGAATTTGCTGTTGTTTTAGAGAGAAAAATAGACATATACTCATTTTTTTTCAATCAGGACATGGTGTTCGTTTTCTTCTTAAGCTTCCCATTGTTGAGGTAGGCAAGTACTGGAGTGTGTCTCTATCTCTACCTTGCTCCCTCATTAGCAAGCTTAATGGGCAGGAATTACGTCTGTTTTGCTTTCCGTTGGATCCCCGGGTCTAGTAGAGTGCCTTGACACATAGTAGGTACTCGACACAGATGCTGGCTTCATGATGAAGGAATTGTCCTCGAATTAATACAAAAGGGAAGATTCAGACTTAGCGAGCCGGTACCATTTGTCTAGGGACACACAGCCAGGAAGGAACCGAACCAGGATTCTAACCCAGGACTACCCAAGTTCGAATTCTAATTGAACCTAAGCCCTAAGCGACCTTGGACGGAGTGACCAAACTGCCCTGAATCTCAGCTTCCTTAGCTGCAAAATAGGGTTAGGAAAAGTGGACTCGGTGGTCCTCTGCGCCGCATTCCCACACTGCAGAAGCCTGAGGTCCTCTCTCAACCAGAATCCAGCACCCAGGACAAGCCCTCTAGCGACTTCAGACCTTCCCGCTCCCGACCCCGCCCGCCCCCGAGAGGCGTGGTTAAGGCGGGGCCAGAGGGCGGACGCTTGCACGGAACGGTAAGGCGCAGGCGCAAAGCCTCGGTGACGCCAGAGAGGCGCGCTCCCAGCTCGGAGCCGACTCGCAGACGCGCCCCGCCCCTCGGCATCGCTCTGGACTGGCGCAGGCGCAAGCCGGCAAGATGGCGGCAGCTGGAGCTGGCCGTCTGAGGCGGGCAGCGTCGGCTCTGCTGCTCCGGAGCCCCCGCCTGCCCGCCCGGGAGCTATCGGCCCCGGCCCGACTCTATCACAAGAAGGTAGGGACAAACGAGGGGACACGCGGAATGCCGACTCGGGGGAGGCCTGGGCTGGAGCGGCGGCCGCGGGGTTCTACGCAGCCAGGACTAGCTGTCGCCTCCCACGTCTTTGCCCTGACTCACTTTCCCTTGGTGCGCAGTGAGGCTCACTGCAACTGATAAACAACAGTTACCGCTCATCGGGCTGCGACTTCCAGGGGGCCCCGCCGCTGGCCGCGACTTCGTGCATCCCAACTTTAAATTCGCCAACAGCCCAGGAGGCAGGGTCCTGTTGGGACTTGTCTTTTAGAGTCCAGGGACAGACACACCCCCGGAGCGGGCTCCGGCTTCAGCCACGCTGCTGCCCTGGCCAGATGACCTTGCGCTAGTCACTGCGCCTCTCTGAACTTGTTTCCCCAGGTGTAAATGAGGCACTCTCAGCTGTCTCTTACAAAGGATACTGTGCGTGGAATCCTGTCATGGTTCCTGGCACATAGGCCCCAGCACGAGGAGACCGTTTCCGTTACTGCTTTAGGAGTGCATAGGGGAGTCAGGCTTGTAACCAACATGCGTAGTGTTTTTGTTTTGTTTTGGGGGTTTTTTTGGCGGGGAAGGAGGGGTAGATGCATAGTTTGCAGCCCCTTGCTGTCTGGTGACGCAAAGTCCCCCAGACGTGAGACTCCCACTCTAGAAACAACTAAAGAATGCCATAAATCAACGTGGCACAAAAAGTCCCTCCGTTAGATACTATCCTATAGGGGCCTTTACTTGGAGTCAAAATCCTTAGTCAGATGGGGAGGAAAAGGGGACTGGAAGATCGGGGTGCTTACTACTAACCAGTAACCACATTAAGGCCTTCTGTGTGCCAGTTCGAATGGATGTTGATTCTGATCTGGCCTCTGCCCTTTCTCCAAGGGCTTCTTCACTCCTCCCCCTCCCGGGGGTGTGTTTTGCTGAGGGTATACCGCGAGGAAACTTGGACTAGCAGCCTTTCAGCAGCCAGGGTGCGCTGCTGCACCAGGGTGATGACAGGCTCTGAAATACGGTAATGGCACTGTTTTTATTTTAAAAGACACATAAACGTACACGTTCCATAGCATTGTTCTCTGTGTAACAGTCACCTTAAGGCTTCTAAGAAAGTTTTCCCTCCCTGGGCCATAGTTATTTTTAGAATTTTTAAATAGTAATCATCCTTTGAGGATCGTTTTTATTTGAAAATAACAAAACTGCTGTTTGAGCCCAAGTCTGGTGATGTAGGTGGGTAAAAGTCAAGTATTTTTGTAAAAACCCTATGGAATTAAGACATGATTTCACTGATTTTTTTTTCTTCTAGGTATCGCTAATCTGTGAAGTAGTTGTAGAGGAGACACAAAAGGAATTGGGGGTCACAAATGGTTCTCACTGACATGAGTGTAGACCTTTCTACTCAGGTGAAATTTGGTGATTGCCTGCCAGGTTCAAGATGCTGACTTCCAGGAGCTTGCCATCATACCAGAGACCAGCACCAATAGAGAGTGAACACAATTTATCTTAACCCTCTCATTTTAGGTTGTTGATCATTATGAAAATCCTAGAAACGTGGGGTCCCTTGACAAGACATCTAAAAATGTTGGAACTGGACTGGTGGGGGCTCCAGCATGTGGTGACGTAATGAAATTACAGGTATGGCTAGTCTTTAATAGTGATAACAATAATCCCTTTAAGTTTACAAAGCACTTGCACATACAGCATTTCACTCAGTCTCCATCTTTATTCCTGTGAGATGGGATGAGTCCATGTTAGACATGATTGGAACAGGGCCTCAATCGTAGCTCTCCTGCTAGGCTAGTGTACTATGCCGACTTTTTCCGAAATAGAAAAGTAATCTCATTTTTGTACTCACTGTATAAGTTTAAATTCCAACTTCAGCCAACGAAAGAGTTTTGTGAATTTTACTGATCAAAGGAAAATCCCAGTGAGCTAGCAGTCCCCAATGAGATAAGAAACACAGTAAATTAAACCTGTCCCCAGATTGGGGGCAACATGAAGCTAGTGTCTAGTGCTTTGGGTAAACTGTTGTTGTAGCGCCAATCTGCTGCTTCATGGTGAGTGGGCAGCTTGCCAGAGATCTTCATACCTATCTTGGAATACAGAAACAAAACAGGAGGAAACCACTAAGTATAATCTGCTGCCCAAGAAAAAAGTATTAACCAGAGACCTTTATTGTGGACTCGCTCAGTGTTTAAAGAGGCAGATTGCCCCAGCAGCTGTGAGCAGACTGCCTCAAATAGAAGTTCATAGCCAAAATGCAAGCCAGAGTCGCAAAACAAAATAATACTGGGGTGGAGGAACATATTTTTCAGCTGATCTTTGTCAGTTGGGCCTGGATAGTTGTCCCTGCATTTCACTTTTCATCACTGAGCTCTCTGAAACAAGGCAAAATCAGTAATGAATGCCATCACTTAGTATGGAAAGCAAGCCCAAAGCCCTTGGGGAAGGCCCCAATGAACCTTCGTGAGTGCCAAGTTCCAGAGGGTGGTCCCAGGACTCACCACTTAACTCTTGTCTCTTTTCTAGATTCAAGTGGATGAAAAGGGGAAAATTGTGGATGCTAGGTTTAAAACATTTGGCTGTGGTTCTGCAATTGCCTCCAGCTCATTAGCCACTGAATGGGTGAAAGGAAAGACGGTAAGGTTGCTCACAAATCTGACAGAATGAAATTGCATTCACCCCAAGCCTGTCTCTTGACGGGTCTAATGGGTCAAAAACAACTATAACTTTTTTTTAATATTCTGAATTTTTAAAGTTTCTGCTATACAGATGTTGATTATATTAATTCTTCAAATTGGGAATTATAGATCATTCTAGATGATGTTTGGGTTTTTTTCTTGTTGATCATCTTGTTTGTTTGGGTGTTAATTACATACAAAAAAGATCCTCACCTGTCCCTCTAACAAAATAGAATTTAGAAGAAATCTTTGGCTTTGTCTAAGGTTACCAATACTCTTATAATTTGTCAAGTCAGAGAGTTGTTATATGGTAGTTATTTTCTTGCTTATTTCCTCTCATGTTTCAGGAAGGGTTCTAGGTGGCTTACAAGGATTGGTGAAATAAACTAGCCTGTGTTAAAAGAGGGATTAAAGAATCAAAAACACAGCAAGGGTAGGGGCAAAGTGAACAACGAAATCAGAACAGTGATCCAGGTGGCTGATCGCAAGCCCTCTAAAGGCAGAGATAATAAAGAGCTAGAACTTCTCTTTCATCCCTTTCTCTCCGAAGTGTCTTTCCCTGGTAGCTGCAGAGGTCAAAGGTCCCAAAAGCAGTGAAGAACTGGACTTTCTAAAATCCAGTTGCTGTCAGAACCTCTCAGAAAAGCCAACCAGCAAGGCACTCATCTTTGCTGCCCCAAGGGACCAGGTGCAGGGAGCTGAGTCATGGAGGAGCATGCTTGGGAGCTGGCCAGCTCCACGGCAGAGCGGTTTGCCAGGCCACGTGCCACCTGCTTCCTGTGGCTCACGGCCTTCTGGCTGGCAAGCTCCTGTGGGCCAGGAAGCTCAGACCTAACCTGCTCTGGCAGGAGGTAGCCCTGAAGTGATTTGTCAGGAACTGTCCTCAGGTGAAGGGAGAAATGAGACAAGGCACTTATGCTCCCAGAACCTGGCCCTTAGGGGACTGTGAATTGTGATCAGAAAATGGGAGAGAACATTTTCTTTAACCTTGAGATCGCCTATCTGAGTTTCAGGAGCAGAACCTGAATCAGCCAAGAAGGGTTAGCAGAATTGGGAAAATGAACGATAGTCAGACATAGCGAAGGAGCCCAGCTGTTGGGAAATCTGGTTTTCTGTAAGGCGGTGGGGCACTGTTCCACATGGGCGAGGATCTGTTTGCCTCACATTATCCCCCCCGGGCTGTCAGCCAGACCCCAGGCGTCCTCCTCAGTTGATCTGGAGGAGATGCTCCTATAGGCAAAGGGTGACACCAGAGAGAGCGTTCAGCCTGACCCGGCTGTGCCACTGCCACTGTGCCACTTACCTGACATCTTCTCAACCTCTCTGATGCCATTTGGCACTTCTAGTCAAAAGGATTTATTCTAACATTTCGTATGAGGATATCAGAGAAGCTGATATTCACAAAACCAGTATCGGAAATCACTACCTTTTAAGGAAAAGATTCCTGACACAGGCCACAAGCAGATCCCTAAGAGACTTCTCACCGGTTCCACTCCTGGCTTAGAGAAGTGTCTGGGCGGTCTTTGCTTACCCAAGCCAGGCAGTGCAGCTGTGTATACTTCATGCTTGAGAATCCCAGCTGCAGCTTTGATAGAGTGGGAGTCATCCTGAGAAGACCCTCAGCCCTTTGAGTTATTAAACAAAAATTATCCCCACCAACCCCGAGGGCCTTTTTGGCCTCCCTTTTTTATTGTCTGGCCCTCACAAGATAAAGCGTTGCTAAAACTGCCCGTCTTTCCATTATGCCTCTCAGGTGGAGGAAGCCTTGACTATCAAAAACACAGATATCGCCAAGGAGCTCTGCCTGCCTCCCGTGAAACTACACTGCTCCAGTAAGTCTCTGCTCTCCATACCAGTCAGCTGGGACATTTGGCAGTAATTTCAACTTGCATTTGCAACAGTCCTTTTAGGTCATGGAGCCCATGTTTATAACCCTCAGAATCAGAGCTCATGAGTCTGTCCTTACAACCTGCAGAGGGTTAGAGCCCCCGTGGTCTCACATTCATCCCTAAGAGAATCATGCCAGAAGGAGATATGCACCAGCCATCATACTGAGCATTTGATGGGCATCATTTCTAAACCTCACAGATATCCTTGAGTGCACAGTCGATGTCATTACTTTCCTCTTATGGATGAAGGAGCTGAGGCTTGGGTTGAGATACCCACGTCACGTGGCTAATAAGTGGGAGAGCCAGAATTTAAGCTCCAATCTTTGATTTCAGAATCTGCTGTTTCTAGCAGAGGAGAAAACTCAGCTTTCTCCATAATCCCGTTTCCTGTGTATTTCTTCACTTCCTGTCTGGATGCTATAACTGTCAGGGTCTGCATCTGTATATATGGCACAACTAAGCCCAGTTGTACAATGTCCCCCTCTCTGCTATCCTAAAAAAAAGCTCAGATGCCTTAAGACTTGTACTTGGCTTTCCAGTTTCATCTCTGTATTAAATCTAATGCTTTTTCCATCATTTCTTAACCTTCTCAGGGAAAGAAGGAATGAGAAACATTAGCCTTAATGCATCGATGGAGGTTTACTAACCAAATTAGTTAAAAATCAGCAGAGAGTCAGGCCTCTTGCCAGGGTAATACTCACAAGGAGAAGAGCCAGGTGCCGGGGCAGACACACTAACTCATTCTTCAGGAAGCCTGGTCAGACCCAAGTTCTTTCCACTTGATCTGGAATTTTAAGTACCCATAAAGAAAGGTCATCACTTGTAAACATTTTCACATGGTTTCAGGAAATCCCTAGCCCTTTTATTAGGCATTTTTAGGTACTGAAACCTCTAGCTGATGTTCTCTGCTATTTGCTTGCTTTCTGCTGTCATTCCAGCTCTCTTGGTTTTTATTTTCCCCATAGCCTCACTTTGAATATTGACTCCTAAATAAAAGTGGTCAAACTCTTGATCACTAGAGGGTGATGTGGCAAATGCCATCCCATGAACAGATTGACATGATCTTTTTTCCAAAGGTCATGTCAACTTTTTATCATGATATGATTTTGTCCAAAGCCAGACTTTGATGGGAGCAGGCAAAAAATAATATTTGCTATGTCCCTACTATGTGTTAGACATCTTCCGTAAGTCCCCACACTATCCTGGCAAGAAAAGCATGATTATCCCAGTTCTATAGAGTAGAAAGTAGGTTCGAAGAGGCTAAGGAGCTAGCCTGGGATCACAGGTATTTAAACCCTAGTCTGTCTCCAGGATTACCCACAGGAGTAACTCAGCTCAGGAAGCAGCTGCTGACCTGCCCGGCAACTCCTCACCCCAGCTTTCTGGCTTGGTTACCCCGTTAGTCCCCACCAGCACCACTTCCTCCAAGCTCTTAAAGATTCTATTCCCAAAACCACTTCTTTCACATCTAGAAACTTAGGCTTCTTTCCTTCCGTTACCTGTAGTGCTGGCTGAAGATGCAATCAAGGCCGCCCTGGCTGATTACAAATTGAAACAAGAACCCAAAAAAGGAGAAGCAGAGAAGAAATGAGCCCTCCCTCGGCGAAGCCTCCAGCAGGCCACACCCCTGTTTCCCACCTGCCGTGCAATCACCTTAGATGTTCAGAAGCCGCTCCCTCTCCACTGAAGAGCTATGAGATACGCACAATACTTGCTGTTCACATTATGACTCTCATGCAAGCAAAATACACAGTTTCATTGTTGAATCCCGTGGTTTCTTTCAGTCCACTTTTATCGCCTTAACCTAGTTAATGTATATTTTGAATTGTGTGTATGACCTCAGAACTGAAATTGATAAGTCGCAAATGTTGATAGCCCATGAAGTGCGTAAGTATCTAATTTTACCTGAATTGATTTGGAGGGAAATTACCAGTAGAATGCCTTTGTCTGAATATTTGATAGAACTAATTGTTGTACATAAAATAGATCTGCATATATATATATAAAAAAAATAATAAAACAATGGAAGATAATGGTGTTCTCTAATAAGCCTTGTCTCTTAGGCCCATCATTCACTCCAAAGTGGTGCCCAAAGCCCCTTGGGGTTCCCAGATGTTGGACTGCAATGACATACACAGCTCTCCCAGCAAACAACAGTAAAGGTCATGTACAAGATTTTTTCCAAAGACAAATACACATAATTTTTTTTTGGAAAAAGGATGAAAGGAGATGATTATCGCTTTTCATTGTTCTTTGTGAGATGATAGTTGACAGCTCGAAGTGAGTCTTGAAGATTCTTTTTGTAATTTCACTGGTTGCTCAAATCTAAGAAGCATTGGCTTAGCACCCTAAAGATACGTGAAGAGCACCTCGGGAATGAGTTTAAAATGCAGATTTCTAGGCCCAAGTTTCTGACTTCTGTCTGGGCAGGTAATTCCAAAGCCCCTGACTTTTAAGAACCACTTTAAGAACCAAGGTCATAGATGAGCCAAACTTTAGGGAAGAAACTTCTGAATGCTCTGTTCTGCATCGATGTAGTATGTAACTGGTTCATTCTGAACTCTCTGTACCTGCATAGTACACCTAAGGTTGTTTAAAAAACATTCATCCAGCCGGGCGCGGTGGCTTACACCTGTAATCCCAGCACTTTGGGAGGCCGAGGCGGGTGGATCACGAGGTCAGGAGTTCAAGACCAGCCTGGCCAACATAGTGAAACCCTGTCTCTACTAAGAATACAAAAATTAGCCAGGCGTGGCGGCATGTACCTGTAATCCCACTACTCGGGAGGCTGAGGCAGGAGAATCGCTTGACCTGGGAGGCAGAGGTAGCAGTGAGCCAAGATTGCACCAGTGTACTCCAGCCTGCAAGACAGAGCAAGACTCTCAAAAAAAAACCAGACAAACAAGCTTTCATCCCTGGCTTGGGCATAAGTGTAAGCACGGTTCCTCCTACCCTGATGTCTCCCTATTCTTAGCTACTCATAGTCATGCAAATCTCAATAAAGGATGCCCTATCTTCTAGTGAAAATGGGTTATTGAAATATTGACTCCCATAGTCTAAAATGTTCAACTTCAAAAGTAAGATGTGTTTGTTTTTTCTGGTGGTGGTTTTTTTGTTCAGGCATAGGCTGGCTGCCTCTTAAATATGCCTCCCTTACTGTTTTTGTTTTTTTTGTTTGTTTGTTTTAATGCTCTGGGTTCTGATGGAGGGCGCAGAACTTCAAAGACTGTTCCCTGTGTAGTCTGTGAAGGCAGCCACAGACCAGGGACTTTATAGGAATCTCAAATTAGAACCCTGAGTAGAACCATGTAAAATTGTCATGTGTGGCATGTTCTGCAATTTAATTCACAGTCCCTCTAGACTGAGCTTGTCTCTCCCTTGTTTATTACATGTGGCACCACCACAATTCCCCACCACTTTTCTTTGTGATTTTTTTTAATTTAAATGAGACATTTCTGTCCCAGTTAACGTCCTCAGAGTTGACATCAGGAGGAGCTTATAAACAACCGAAGCAACATTCCCAGAAGAGCCCAAGTCTCCAAATGTGGTTGTGCTGCTAAAACGGATATTTTTTAAACTCACATTAAAGACACCCTTTCCCAAGACAAATCTAGTTAGAGCCACACGAGGGCATCATGTGCCCTTCAGTGAGCTCAAGTCTAGGGGTTTTGCAGCCTCCAAATAGGTCTTAGCATCTCTAAATAAACCCCTCCATGGAAAACCTCCACAGGTAAGTTACAACTGTCTGTTAAGCATCCGTGCTCTGTGCCAGGCCCTTACATTTGTCATCCTGTTAATTCTCATGACAGCCCCCTGCGGTGGGCATTGTTTCAGACAAGGATACTGGCTCAAGAGGCCAACTGACCCTCAAGCCAGCTGGATTGATTTGAGTGACCCAAAGCCCATTCTTCTGCCTTACCCCTCCTGGCAGAACACACCAGGGATTCAAACTGCATATCTGAGGTTCACCTGTGCCTTGAACATTCAATGAAAAAGCTGAACCAACACAGGTTGAGCCTGATGCATCCACTTGGCCAACTGGCTGCCAAGCACCATGGCCCTCACGCCAACCCTGGCTCCTACCAGGAGCCTAATTAAATTCTGAAGCCAAGTTAAAGCCAGTGCTGTGGAGGTGGGGCCTGGGCACTGGCATCACCTGATGGGCTGGGTGAGTTTATGGGTGGATGGATGAATGGATGGACGGGGAAGCAGAGGCTCCGAGAGGTGAAATGACTTGCCTCAAGGCACACAGCTAGGAAGTGGTAGAATCAAGCTCTGGCTGAGGTCTTCTGCTCACCTCCCACCCTCTCCTGGGTGCCACACTATAGCTATGACCACATCTCAGATGTAACCTTTCCTCAGCGTGATTCCTGGACCAGGGCTAGCCGGGACCACATCCAAATGCACAGTTCTAGAACTTACATTAAGCATTGTCCTGTAAAAACTACTTGGCCCTAGGGTGAGTTTTCTTAAAAAGACAAACAAATGAGGCGTACTTCTCAACACTTCAGGCCCTTTGAACTTGAGGCAAGAGTGAAGACCTTGTATCTATCCTCACGACAGAAGAGAAGACTTCTAGGTCCCGCCAAGTTTTGGTGGCGTTAGAGGACTCCTGCAGATGAGTTCCAGCCAATGGCTCTTTGTGGCCTGTCTGCTTGCTTTCCCCACCCTCCGAGATAATATCAGCCAACCCCTCAAAAGGCCACCTCCCCAGAGAAGATCATCTCCACCCAGGGAGGAAGCAGCAGGGCAGAGTGGAGTGAGCTTGGAGTGTTGAATCAAATGCTGGCTACTGTTGTGTAACCCTGAGCAAAAGGCTCCACCTCCTCAAGCCTCAGTTTATTCATCTGCAAAATGGGAACAATAATAGTACCTACCTGATCAGGTAGACCTGACGATTAAATGAGATAATACATGGAAAGCACATGGCACATAGAGTTCATTATTGGGCCAGGTACAGTGGCTAATGCTTGTAATCCCAGCACTTTGGGAGGCCAAGGCAGGAGAATTGCTTGAGCCCAGGAGTTTGAGACCAGCCTGTGAGGCAGGATAGGTAGTCAAGGAAGTGACCATGTCCTCAAGATGCAGCATCCTTGGTGACTATACGGTCAACACAACAAGCCTCAGCATTCGCATTGTAATTGAGCTCACTCAAGCAAAGTGATCTTCAGTAGGGACTTTCCCCTCTAGAAAGCATACGCACTTTGATTTTACTGTCCTCACACTGACCCTTTGTGCATTAAAAGAGTAAAAAAGACACCCCTAGGTGGAGATTTAAGATGCTAATGAGACATGCAACATATGAACAAGCACGTACAGCTACTGTGCATGGGCACTGAGAGGACCACCCAGAACATGCTTACTAGTAATGCCTCTCTCAACCCCTTATGAATCATCATGTAAAACGCCCTCAAAGGGAGTCTCCCAGCAACAATCAATGCTGTCTTATCCTTACAAGCAGTCTGCCCTGAATCCCGTCTCTCTCAGGGTGTCCTGTCCTTTCTGTACCTAACTTTCAAAATGTTCTTTTTCCTCTGCAATAAATTACTCTATGCTGCACCTCCCCTTTGCTATGTGTCTCTTGTCTATAGTCTTTTAAACTCAGAAGGCAAGAACTGAGATCTCGCAACAGCTGTCAACACCTGGATGTTGTTGGCAAGATGGCCAGACCCCATCTCTACAAAAGCACCACTGCCCTCCAACCTGGGTGAGAGAGTGAGACCCTGTCTCAAAAAAAAAAAAAAAAAAAAGACGAAGAAGGAGAAGGAAGGAAGGAGGGAAGGAAAAGAAAGAAAAGAAGAAGAAGGCCGGGCGCGGTGGCTCAAGCCTGTAATCCCAGCACTTTGGGAGGGCGGATCACAAGGTCAGGAGCTCGAGACCATCCTGGCTAACACGGTGAAACCCCGTCTCTACTAAAAAAATACAAAAAACTAGCCGGGCGAGGTGGCGGGCGCCTGTGGTCCCAGCTACTCTGGAGGCTGAGGCAGGAGAATGGCGTAAACCCGGGAGGCGGAGCTTGCAGTGAGCTGAGATCTGGCCACTGCACTCCAGCCTGGGCGAGAGTGAGACTCAGTCTCAAAAAAAAAAAAAAGAAGAAGAAGGAGGAGGAGGAAGGAGAGAGAGGGCGAGAGAGAGAGAAGACAGAGAAAGAGAGAGAGAGAGAGAGAAAGAAAAGAAAGAGAAAGAAAGAAAGAAAGAAAGAAGAAAGAAAGAGAGAGAGAAAGAAAGAAAGAAAGAAAGAAAGAAAGAAAGAAAGAAAGAAAGAAAGAGAGAAAGAAAGAGAGAAAGAGAGAAAGAAAGAAAGAGGAAAAAAATAGTTCATTGCTGTTGAGGTGGTTCTCATTATTACAGGTAAGACTTCAGCCCTGAAAAAAACCTGGGCACTGTTGCTGGGTATTTTACAGAGGTCAGCTCATTTGCCTCACAAAAATCCTAAAATACTATCAATATCCCATTTTATAGGTAGAGAAACTAAAAGGTAAAGTGATGTGTCAGCAAATGGTAAGATCAAGATTCTAGCCCAGAGCTGTTTGATCCAGAGCACAAACACCAAAAAAACTATGACTGTATTTTCTCTACTGCTATTTTCACTATTACTATTTGCATTGGTATAAAAAAAGGCACACCTCAGAGATGTTGCAGGTTCAGTTCCAGATCACTGCAATAAAGTAAATGCTTCAATAAAACAAGTCACACAAATTTTCCCAGTGCATATAAAAGTTATGTTTACACCAAACTGGAGTCTATTAAGTGTGCAATAGCATTATATCTAAAAAAACAAAAAAAAAAAAACAAAAAAAAAAAACAAAAAAAACCCCAATGTGCATACTTTAATATAAACATACTTTATTGCTTAAAAAAAAATTGCTAACAGTCATCGGAGCCTTCGGTAAGTCATTATCTTTTTGCTGGTGGAGGGTCTTGCCTCAATTTTGACAGCTGCTGACTGATCAGGCTGGGAGTTGCAGAAGGTCAAGGAAAAAAAGGCAATGTCTTTTTTTTTTTTTTGAGATGGAGTCTCGCTCTGTCCC